CGAAGTATTCAACTGCGTAATACAATGGACCGCAAATCTTTTCCGTGATTACTTGATTAGTTTTGCAGCTTAGATGTAGTTGTGATGACTACGTGACTCATAGTTTTCTCACACTTCGCTAGTCGTTCCATTGCGCAAATGTAAGTTTGATTACCGCCATGATCCACTTGTCATCGTGAATACCGCAGTTTTGCCATGATTTTTCGGTATGTTTCACATAGATTACCTTTGAGCAAATACGCAACGCAGCAATAGAAAAGAAGCATATTGAGTGGTAGTCATGATTTCTTTAAGAAATAACATTTGGCTTTTGTGATTGAAATTACATTTTCCTTTCAACTTGAACTAATACAACTGCACATTTCGTAACTCTCGCCAATTCTCATCGTTACCCTCTCGCGCTTCCGAATGCTCCCATTCATTCTGAAGGATTTATGCGTCAAGAAGGCTTTGTTCTGAACGCACGCCTGTTCATTTGCCAAAAAGCAATCGCAATAGCTCGCCGCCGCGGCTGTCCGGTGATCGAATTTGCATGTGTTTCCGTCCAGCCCGTAGCCCTCTTTCTAGGCCTCCCCACAACCCTTCAAAGACTCGGAAGACTGGCCGCGCTCCGCTCCATGCGTGATGATTGGTATTCAACCGGACGATCTCACACAATCCCATTTCCCTCGTTCGCTATATGTGTTTCCCGTTATATAGCGCGCGTGGTTGCGTGCGTTTCAACCGCAACTACGTATTATTGGATTAGTTGGTGTAGCTGGCCGCCTCCGGTCCGTGGCGAACAACAATACGATGCCGCCACCGACGGGTATTCATGTGCACGCGAACGACCACTGGTCGCCGGGGTCCGGCTATACTATGCACTTTTATGGTTGAAGGGTCGATGCATTATTACGCATGGCTAGTAATTCTGGTATCTGCTCACTTCTATTCCGAATTCTATGGGAAGAAGAGGAGGGTTGTATGCATTTTTTCTTGTAATACGAGTTGTAACTTACTCTTTTCAAGGTAATACGATTTAACCCATTCAAGAGGTGCTGGACGCTCAACAATCTTAATCCGTCATTTTATTATTCTGAATCTTTGATTCCAGAAAGGACTACTCGCTGCTGGTAGCAGGCTTGGAATCTTAGAAATGTGATTTTCATCTTGAGATGAAGTTATTTGGTTTAGAACAGTCTATGATTGAATGAATGGTGGCAACAAGTTTGTACCTCTTTTTTGCGCTCTAGTGATTTTGTCTTACTTTTTTTATTAAAAATTAGAACTTGCTCTTATTTATAGGATTTTGCGAAGCATTAGTTACACAAAGGATTAAAGGGGTCTGAAAAGATGAATTGTGAAGGCCTCTAAGGAATTTCATGCTTTTTCCAACGAGTAGTAATCACAATTTGATTTTGAAACAAAATTTCGCAAAAGCCAAAAGTAATTCGCAATTATATCATGCATCATAGCTATTTCATCAGCCTCTCTTAGACACATTCCAAAACCTATAGCTTTATATCCAAAGTTGATGTTCATCTGTTTTTAATAGTTCAGTTGTCCTACTCTTCTCGTTCTAAATCGATATCCTTACAAACAGGTATCGAGCCCCGCATTAATCATTTGATTACTTTTATACCTTATCCAAAAACTCATTCGAGACTGTTCTGTCCCTTTCCGCTTCTGCAGCAGATTTTCACGTGTTTTTTTTCCATTTTAAAAGTAATAGAGTTACATCTTACACTAGCATTTTGTCTATCTTGAAGATGTGATTCTGCATG